TCACCCACATTTTGTGGGGTCTTACTCTAATAGCTGTTAGCATTGCTGCTTCCTCAGGCCCCACGGCTTGAATTTTTGACAGCCATGGCGCACAGCATCTCTTGACTTTACCTGTTATGCGACTGTTGCCTGGATTTTCTGTAGGTGCCAACAAGCAGCCTTGCCTTCCCCTCTTAGCACCTTGATTTTGTCTAGCTTGGGCTTCTCTTTGTGCTCTGATGGCAGGACAGTATAAAGAAAAAGACACAATCACATAGCCTTAACAGCTCAAGAAGCGTCCCATATACTATGATTCTGCCACCCATGACAACCATGTTTATGGCATTATTTTTCTGCCATGCCAGAGCTTGCATGGCCAGCAGGAACTGAGAGAGCAACAGCAGACTTGCTGTGTTGAGAAGTAGGTTCCCATGCCCCCAGTGTGACAGCCCATGCCTGTAGCCCACCAACAATGTCTATTCAGCCAGGCCATTGAGGCAGTGTCATCCTCCAGGCCTGGCACTAGTAGTAGGAAGCGTGGTGAGACGTACCGCAAGTCAGCAACCAGGGGACCTTTGTTCCACGGGGGTATGCAGCATTTTAAGTAGATGCTGTGACGCTGGGCCTGTTAAAAATGCATGGAACAATGCTGGGTCAAGAACGTGCCTGGGACTTCAGGCACTTCCTGCACAGTCCATGGATGAACATCCATTCCTCAGCCTCTGACCTTCCGCCAGCTTAGGGGCTTCACTGCCTCTGCCTTTGCTAACAGGGTGTTTGCCTCCAGTGTAGTTCTCAGGATCAAGCTGAAGCCCCAGTGAGACCCGTGGAGGAAGCCAGAGGAAGAAGCAGGTTGCTGGGAGCCTGTGCAACAAGGTCCTTTCTGACCTAGCATGGCCAAGCAGGCTTTCTCCTCTGTGAACAGGCACTGCTGAAGTGCTGAGATGGCTTCACAGCAAGGTGGGATTCTACCAAGCTGCCCCAGAAGGGAGGAGTCCTGTTGACGTCGTCGTTTTGGGTTGTAGGGTTTGTAGCTGTTGCAGTGTCTGCAGACTTCAGATATCCCGGGGGCAGGTACCCAGCCCTTCACTCAGACCCAACACTAGGATGTGCTAAAAGTTCCCAGCTCCAGAGAAGACTCCTGCCCATCCTTTCTCCTTTGCTGCCCAGGCCATATTCCTGATATCTTGCTGTTTTCTGCAGGTGCAACTCTGAGGTGAAGTATGACTCCGAGAAGCATTACCGGGATGACATCTTCTACAGCCCCATCCCCACCGTCACCACCTACAGCGAGACGGTCATCGCCGCCCCCAATTGCACCTGGCGGAACTACAAGTCCCAGCTGATTTTCGAGCCCCGCCAAAAGCCGCTGAGGTTCCAGAGTACGACCATCATTTTTCCTAAGCGTGCCAAGAACATTTACCGGACCACCCTCAACTACAGCTTGGGCTGTGCCAAACGCTGGTTTGCTTCCAGTGTGCAGCTGGAACTCTGCGAGGAAACCAGCCCCTGCGTCATCTACAGTGAGACCCTCTGATCCACCAGGCTGCTGGCGACCTTGTGACCTCAAGAAGACTGTGGCCTTTGCTGGGTCTCTGGCTGGGCCCTCATTGATGGCAACTGAATATTAGTGGCAGGAGAATGTGTCATCTTGGGTGAGGCTGAACTGCCTGGGAGGAGGCTTGCAGGGCACAGGATGGTTTTGATCAGTGAAAGGCTGGCCTGCGTTTTGCAATATTCCTGACATTTGCGATCTGTTTTTTATTTTTGGTTTTTTTTTTTCTGAGCGTATCTATTTTTGATTTGTATTTAGATGAAATCAAGATGACGAAGGACCCTATTACCCCACAGCAGAATGCTGCTTTGTGAGCTCTGTAGGTCTCCTCTAGCACGTAGGTAAGACCTACTGTGGCCTTTAGAGCTGATTTGATCTCTGCAAAGAGAAGACCAGCTGCAGAGTCACTGTCCAGCCTCCCCAGCAACCACCCAGCCAAATCTTTCAGAGTTCAAATGCAGGGGAGGCAGCTGTTTGTATCAATACGTTCCATGCCGCTCCAACAGCTCATCTGGAAGGTAGCTGCAATATTACACCGCTGCAGTAATCTCCAGCCTCCCTTAATGACAGGAATGGGGACTGTCACCGAGAAAAAGAGAAGGAAAATCGCACACAGTGTTCTTGCTAGCAGCTAGATGTTTGTGTACCATAGCAAGACACTACAACAGGAGTATCTAGAGGAAATTTGTGGTTTACAGAGGTCCTTCCCTTTGGGAAATAGCCCAAATAGAGAGCTCAGCTCCAGAGAGGAAAACAACCCAGGAAGTACAGGACTGTACGGAAAGATGAGAACACCGCCTCCATGCCACAGGAGGAGATGTCCTGCACAGACTGATTACTAGCTGTTTGCATTTCCCTCTACAGGTAACAGCCTTCTACCAGCCTTGGCTGTGAGATGAGCCAAGGAAGTTGTGTGAATAGTCAGAGCCAAGGAAGTTATGTGAGTAGTCATGACCTTATCTGTCACTAGTCCCACAGATTACCTGAAATGTGCCACAGTGGGACTGCAGCGTGCAGGAATGTCACCCAGGTGCCAGCAACGCTCTCCTGCCAGTCTGTGTGCGTGACAAAGAAAGGCCTACCCACAACCACAGCCACCTCTTCTGTGAACCAAGCCTAGCAAAGAGTTTGCCAGGGAGACTAAGGAAACAGGATAGCTGTGCAGCTCTTTTCTAAAAGTGTCCAAGCAATTTAGGAGCCCAATGCCCTTTTTTTTGAAAGTAATGTCAGCCCAGGCATGCCATTCTGTTTGTTTTATCTAGCATCCAGTCTGCAGGGCTCTTGAGGCATCTGCAAAACTTTTGAGTTTCAGGGTATGGCTGCATTGCAGAGGAGTGTAGTACAGGGAGATGCTAGCTAGCTTTAAAGAAGCCAGTGTAGAGCTAGCCCATGAGCAGCATTGCTCACCCCTACTCAATAGTTTCCATACCTGTGACATGGACAACTTAGCTGACTGTGGGGGAGCATCCAAACTGTCTCGCATAGAGTCTGCGTTATTGAAGAGCCCAAATCTTTGCTGAATTTCCTTCATCACCCAGGCTGTAACAATTCAACAGGTACTTCATGAACAGCTGAGTCGTCCCTGCAACGGGATTAGGAAACTTAGAGAGAGCAGGAGCCACTACAGGCATCCTAAGGTAAACCATTCCCCAGTCATGAATCACATCTCCTGGCATCTCTGCGTCTTGGTAGCACACTGAAAAGTCGCAGAGCTTGGGTTCCTACAAACATATAACCTTTGAAAAATGGCATGGAATTGTCTCCAAAAAAATCTTACCGGTAATTTTTGCATGCTTCTCATAAGAACCCAGACTTAGAAAATAGCTACACAGCTCTGGAAATGAATTTCCAGCTTTCCCTCTTCTAAACTTTCCACTCTGTTTCTGACTTGCTGCGCGTCTGATTGAGTTATTTCAAAACACAGCCAAGCAGCCAAGTCAGAAAACCTATTAACTATGTCAACAAGACATAGCTGATTGCCCAGAACAGTTGACGCACAAACCCACAGAGATTAAAAAACGATCTGACCAACTTAAAACAAAAATATATTTTCAATAGTGACTTATAAAGAACCTTTTTTTTTCATCAGTTTCAAAAGGCAATTGGTAGATGTGCTCAGAACTGTGACCTTTATGAAACAGAGCTCTCTTGTTTAAAATGAAGCACCGTTTTTCTACCAGAGGTAACTATAAGGTCTTTATATACATAAGTAAATCCTAACAGTTGAAGCATCATTGGTAGTGAGAGAGATGTTGCGCACTAAGTCAGCGATGAACGCTGTATCTTCATCTGGGAGTTAGATCCTGGTAGCGAGAAATCTCTCAAAAGATTTCCAAGGCTTCCACTGACCATAGAATTCTTTTAAGCGACACAGAAATGCAGATTATACGTGTTATTGGTCAAGTTTTGCTGTCACTTACCAGCAGTATCTGCCTGGAAAAGCACCATCTGCCTCAAAAGAGGGGGTCATTCAGCCTGCAACAGCCCTTCTCTCCAGAGCTCCAGCGAACACAGGCGCTGCACAGTTAGCTTAGACGAACGAGACTGAGTCTAGCTATTCAGGGCAGCTGAAGCTTGGGTGAACATGGTCCCAGTGCAATGCAGATTGGTGACACACTTGCAGGTCATCTTGCTGCTTATCCCTTATTTCCCAGTACTGATGAGCAAGCCACATCACGGTGTTGTCCTTGTGACCTGAGGAAGCCCCTGTCTGCCTTCCTGGGTCCGTTGCACAGCTCCTGGAGTGCTCTGCCCCCATCTTCATGAGTGTCCATAGCAGAGGGGCAGGTTTCCAGGCTGAGTGACACTGTAACTCAGGTTTGAAAGCAGCTCAGAGCCAGGCAAAAATGGTTTGGCTGCAGAAAGGAAAGTCTGTCAGGACACTACTCATACCCAAGAGACCCTTGCAGCGATGACAGATTAGATTGCAGGCACCTCCACTGAGCAAGTGTAGGGATGGACTGGCCATGGGACAGCACTACTGCTTCTGAGTTGCATGGATGCCTAATACTGACCAGACATCAGGTTTTCTTTTTATTAACAGTTGAATTATTCCCCTACTCAAAGCACAAAGATAGGGGGTTTTTTGGGTCAAGACAGGCTTGCCCAAGAAGAGCTCTAGCTGAGCCCGGGCCTGTTTCCCTTTGGTTCAAGGAGAGAAATCTACCAGCTATATGGGCTTTCCCAAACAGATCAGTCCCTCACAGACATCCCTGCCATGTATTTATTTTGTGTAACAGGCGTGGCTTCAGCATTTCCCATCAAGTTCTTGCTGCCCTGGCACGATGAAGCTTAAGCAGATTTTCTTGTTTTGCCATGTCAGGTAAACAAAGCCAGCCTGCAGCTTGGGGTTCTGGGCTGCTGAACATCCTTTAAACCATGTAGCTATGGACAGGCTGTGGTGAGCTACCAGCCTGGGCCATATCCAAACTGTGACATTGTTAAGTGCCTGAAATCTATAGGAGTTTTTAAAATATAGCTTCTAAAACAATGTCTCCCTTGGGCCCATCACAAGCTGCTTTTCTTCTCTGTGAAAGCTGGCATTGGAAAGGGACTTTGCTCTCAAACATGGGCCCCGTCACAGTGCAAGGCTGACAGAGCCGGCACTGTGGAGTTGTCCCCCCACAGCACAATCGCAGTTTACCACCGGTCCAAGATCTGGAAGTGATTACAAATAACTCGGTCAAAACGATGGATTTGATGCTTGGCCTAGTAAGAAGCAGCCATGTCTTATACCTGCAGCCCCACACCTCCATCCTCCCGCTGTCCCCATTGCTCCTGTCCCCATGACCAGGTTAGGCAGCGTTAGAAGAGTCACAGTTCATCTTGCTCACGATTGGGAAAGGTGATGATTTTCGTGCCTTGCTGAAAGACCAGAAATTGAATTGTGTTGCCAATTAGGATCACTCCCAGCAGCCAAGAGGTGCCTTGTTTGTGGTATGTTTTGTATATCTAAAGGGAACAATTTGTCCCCCTAGAGGGGTGTTTTTCTTTTAATGGAACATTTTTCATCTCAAACAACAGTTCTTCATTCACGTATACTTTCTCAAAGATACAAATGATAAATCTAGAACACAGGAATGCTGCTTAGGAAGATGAGTTTCCTTGAACAGCTGGGAACAGTGACTACACAGTTTCTCTTTAGGATCCTAAGGTGCTTGTTTTCAATAGTCCTACGAGCCTGATAGGGGAAGTCAGACTCTGCCTGTAGGAATTATTTTTCCTTCAATAGTTATTTTTCTGAAACGAGAACATGTCACAGAAGCCTTCTGGTTGTTGTTGCTGTTTTATAATACGCTGTCTTTTTCATCAAAACAGTGTATTTTGGAAGGTCTTTCTCTCAGAGGTAAGGGTTTTGCCCTTCTTCCCCTTTGTTTCTGTTTTGCCACTGAATACAACAGAACATGCGTGTGTCTGGTCTGCCTTTGCCTTTTCTTATTCCTTGTTGACAGGTGGAACAGGCCTGTATTGCTTGTCATTGCATTTGGAGCAAAAAGGGGAACTCTGACTAAATATTGACCTTTCAGAATCCGAGAAATACTTTGCACAGGCCGTAGAGACCAACTTTGACCAAATTTCTTTCTTCCCCCCCCCCCCCCCCCAAAAGCCATCTCTACTTTTCTCAATGTGAAATACAGACAGATTTGCACCTTGGGTGCAGGCTTTCTGGGAATGATGAAATGAGGTTTGGGTGTTGATAGCAGTGTTTGAGTGAGCTGCTGATCAGAGAAGTGAATGCTGTTTACTATTTATGTTGAGTGAGTCTTACAAAAAAAATGGGAAAGGTCACTAGAGGGATAATGAGCAAAAGAATTTGTAGAGCAAACTGAAGACTGGAGGCTGTGTGACTCTCATCTAGAGGTGAATGGTTTTATCTGTGAAAACTATGAGCTAGGATATTTAGGTGTTTTAATTTTAACCTGCCTTTTTTCCTGCAGAGAAGAGTGTCTTCGCCTTCCTTAGAGATAAAACAAATTCCGATCCATCCTCCATCACGGTCTTTCGGTCTCACTGAAGTCTGTGAATGTCAGCGTTCCCCAGGTTTGCAGGGCTCTCTGTATATCAAGCACATGCACACAGAGCTGTCTCTGTCCTTTTTAGGGAAGGGTGGGTCTCACTTGGTGTGGGATATTCACATTTCTACTGCCAGATGAACTCTGCTCCTTGAGTATTACGCCCATCACTAACAAATTGATCAGTTCTGAACACCTCCCCCTAACCACAACACTAACCATTGCATTTTATAAGTCCTGCGGGACACTCATTCCTTCTCAGATACCATGATGGCCATTCAAAATGAGCAGAGTATCCTACCATATGAATAGTGACCTGAAGATGGGGCTGAAAGATGTTTGAAGGTTAGAGAAGGGCGAAGAGAACATGTATTGGTGGAAATGCATAAGGATGTGTCATATTTTTATTTTTGTAAGTCTGATTCTCTAAGTGCTTGTAAAGTACTTTACTGTTGTATATGTGGTGATGCAGTAGTTCACAATATCCTTTTATTTTTGTATATTCCCCCTCCACAATAGTCCCTTCCTGTTCAACTCATACAGAGTAATTTAAGAAGACAAAATTTATATATCATAATAAAATTCACAAACTGTTATGCTAGTGTATCAAGAGTTTCCTTCCTTATCCATTTACTTGGTGTCCAGTGCCATTTTCCCATCCAGATGGGATGTTCTCAGTGTTTCCCCCCCTCATCGGTGGAATTCACACCAACTCTCCTTACTCAGGAGGCTGTGGACTCAGATAGGTGGTGCTGTTACTTGTAGAACCTGCTCTATGACTTATGCCCAGGGAAAGTTTAAATGCTTAAGTAAGAGGGCGCAAAACTCAAGTGTCCTCCAGAGGCATTTATGCAGTTCAAGATTTCACTGGCAGCAGTTGTTCACCCTAAATTTCTCTCTTCCTGCTCAGTCTTGTTCTACCTAGTTACGAAGCCCTGGTGCTCAATTTAAATAATTCCTCTCCCAGCTTTTCCATGCCCTCCAGACTCCAGGAAGAAACAAAGCAACGCTTTATTTCATATCCAGGTATCCACATCCTAGTGTATTATCAGGATCCTTACTACTTTCTAGCTTTCCAAATCATAAAAGCAGATGGGTTGTGTCAGGGCTAAAACCTTGCCTAGCCATGAAGTTTGTTTTAAAGCCATCTCTATAAATGCTTTAGACTTGCCAGCCAGCTATTAGGAGAGCTCTCAGCTGTCTTCCAAGACCTAAGATGTCTACAAGGAGAATCAGACACAAATCCTTATGGAAAAGTCATATTGGATTTATAGGGATGAAGTCAATAGGCTTGGACAGAAATGGCTGTTAAACCCCAAGGAACGGAAAGGAGAAGGAAAGCCTCGTTATGCAAGAGACTTGCTTTAGGTCCTGTGCACAGGCACAGGAAGTGCCTGTGAAGCTGCCCATGTCCTAATCCCAAACTTTGGCACACAAATCACTGCCAAACTGCTCCTGGGGGAAGCATGGGAGACACTCTTGTGCTCAAGCACCCGAGAAAGCTGAACACAGTAACAGCGGGAAGGCAGAGGAGGTACAGACTGGATGAGCTCGAGGGTTGAAACTGAAATGCCAGATAAAGGCCACGTGCATCCACTCCTGTTACTTAAATAAAACCATAAAACATGAATGCTCTCCAAAGAGGATTCCTGAGGTGGCAGCTAACCCCTCAGAAGCAGAAGCAGTATTAGATGCAGAATATGTGTTTTGGCAAGCGCACTCAGATGAGCTAACCCCTAAGCTAGTGGCTTTTCCTGTGCCATTTGGATGTTGTAAATTTAAGCAGATGATGCTTGCTATTAGTTCTGCTCCTGGGATGTTTCAGAGAGTAATTGCACATATCTCTGAGGGATTACAAGGTGCTGAAGTTATAATGGATAGACTTTGAATTTAGACTAGATGCCTTCATGAACAGAAGGAAAGATTTAGGCCTGTTTTTCAGACAGCAGAACCCTCACCTAAAATAAGTTGCTGATAATGGGCAGACAGAGATTAAATAATCATAATAATAAAATCCCATGTGCTAGGATCCCCATTGCACTCAACAAAGCAGAGCTGCAAGGAAACAACAGGCTCATGTATCAGATTTCATGCCACAGTTATGTACAGCCAACAAACAATGGAGGGATTTGATGGAAAAAAATAACCTTACCTGATACTTGAGCAGGAAAACTTCCCTCTGCTGCCAGTCCATCAGCTTGAATATACCACATGCAAGGCCTCAGGTCTCTATCTCTGCTCCCTACACTCAGCAGCTGGCAATGTCACAGCCTGGACCTACAGAAGCGTCCTTGGAAGATCTAGGTGATGCCAAGCAGCAGGAAAGTTTTGTCACAGTCCTCAAACGTGGCACAAATCCGTGCCCAGACGAAGAAACCTTCAGCTGCATGCCTGGACTGTTGCACGCCCCGTCAAACTACACAGACGACAGAAGGGCATCGAGACTGCACGTCATCTAGCACAGGATGCTGAACTGCCGTGGGCCATCTGTGCGGAGCGGACAGGGAATGGGAGTCTATCACAGCAGCTGTGCCACCAGCATCCTTTGTCCCCAGAGCAGCTGACCACAGCTCTGTGCTTTCCTGTGGCTCCACAATTGCCTGACAGAGCGCCAGCCAAGCTGTTTGAACCCACCAGAAATGGTTCAAACAGGGCTCTGTGAGCTCCTTGCTGCCTTAGGGGGCACCTGAGCCCCAGCAACTGAGACACCAGCATCCTCAGGGTGGCTGTGGGGCCAGGCCAGGCAGTGGGAAGGTGGCTTCCCTCACTGCTCCCAACTGCTCTTTGCAGCATCTGCCCAGCCAGGAGCAGAATTATCTAGCGCTGATTTTCAGCTCATTGCTTTGGGGAGGACTCCCACCACAGATGCAGCCCCTGCGGTTTCCCCGTGGCCCAGAAGAACCGTGGCTTGGCCACATGGGCTTGCTGGCACCCTAACTGCCCCCAGCTCTGCCCATAACCAGCGGCTGAGCTGGCCACGCCGCAGCATCAGCAGAGAGCTGCTAGTCTAGTTTGGCTGTAGCCCTGCTCACCAGCAGCTTCAGGTTGCCCTCAGAGCGCTTAGAGCCTGCTGCAGCTCTGGCTGCAGCAGCGCGTCAGACTGCCCCCAGGGTCACGGTAAAGGCAAAAGCTCTCAGCCCTTTTGGCAGATAAACACTAGCACTCTGCTCTCCTGCCTGCTTCTACATCCCCTGGTCTAGTTACATGCAAGGGGAGCAAGGACCTGCCCTGGACATGCACAACTTCTCCCAAAGCACCTAGTCCCCTTTGCCTGGCAACGTGCCAAGCCACAGAGGGGAAAATGAACGCGGGAATGGTTTGTTCTTGAATAGAATAGAAGATCCTGGAAATGCTTTTTGGGGTGTAACGAGGGAGTTTTATGAACTCTATTTTCTGCTTCTAACAATGATACCAGATCCAGGCGGTTCCACGCCTCTGTGTCCAAGACTGACAGGAAGGTCATCTACAAGGACGAAAAGGCTCCTCCTGCCAAGCCTTTGATTCTTGCTGCATCCTTCCCACCCTGCAAACAGACAGGCAGACAACACATTTCTAGCATAAAAATTTCCTGCTCTCCAGTTAACCACCTCCAGATTCCCTTCCTGACTCTGTTCTGAGCCTGGTGATTAGGCATTTCTATATACACAAACTTTCAAATCACCTCCCTGAGGCTCTTCCTGTCTCACCAGCCGATCTCCAGCTCCGGCGGCTATTTGCAGCTCCTTGAAATACTAAACGAGATCAGTGCTTCTCCCAAGTTGATTGCTGCGGTCGGGGTCCTCTGCTACGAGCGCCTTCAGCACAGAGCCCTGGCGCCCACTCCCTTGCTCAGCCCTCGCCACGCGGGACGCCCATCACCACCGCATCCGAGAGCGGCCTCCGCTCAAAGCTCTATGCGAGGATGCTGAGGGGACACACAGACAGGGAAATCCGCTGTGGCATGAGGCTGTGCTGGGATAGTGCACGTGGAAATGCATGCTTGCATGGGAGGGAGGGTGCAAAAACACACCAAGTGCAAAGCAAGGTAGACATGGGCAACACACACACACACACTGCAAACTGCATTCTCTTTGATGGAGGACTGTAGAAACATTACCCTCCCTCGGGGCTTAACAGTGAAATAACCTGATTATTCATAAACCAGCAAGAACCATCAATCCCTCATTTATCATTTTCAACATAAATAATAAGGGTAAGGGAGGAACACGCCAGCAATAAACTAGTTATAGATGTAGTGTTGAAAACTGCCCATTTCCTTTAAATATGCCCCACTTACTGATAATAAACAGTGATCCGACTGCTGCCGCGTCTGAGTCCATGAGCGTTGGATTACAAAGGACACAAGCCAACACCCTGCTTTATGCTAGTGAAAGTCCATTTGGCTTTTGCGTGGGAGGCCAGAGAGGAAAATGCAGCAAATTTAAGCAAACACATTTGTCTTACTGACAAATGCCTCAGGAAATAAAAGCCTTTGTATTCTTCTCTGACCTCTTCCACTCACAGATGGGTTTTTGCCTTGCTTCCGACAGACTTTTTTAAGCGCCTGCACTTCCAGGATATTCGTTTTAGCTGCTCTGAAAACA